AGATCATGACCTGAGCTGAAGGCAGAGGCTTAACCCAGTGAGCCACCCAGGCAGCCCCCAAGAAAGACTTTTAAAAATTAAATAAAATTCTACTTAACAAATTCTACTTAGCGCTTAACGAGGTTAAATGCCCAAGACAATCCCAGTGTGTGCTTTATAACAATTCATGATTATTAACCTTAAAAGGGCTCATAAAAATTTACTACTAAATTTTAATTTTTATACTGAGTTGATTCAATATTTCAAGGGAAATGAAAAGTATTAATCTAATGGTATAAACAATGAAGGTTCTTCTCCAGGTGTTCAATTCCTACTGCGTGATCAGTTGACACTAGTTATTAATATCACAGTGAGGCATCTGACAACCTACTCTTTATTAAGTTTGCCTATCTGAATAATGCTGGAATACAGAAAAGATTATTATTTCCTAAAAATGCAGATATACATTTTTATCTCCTAACCAGTTGGAATATCAATAATGCTCTCATTCACCAAAAGAGGAAAATAGATATCTAATATTAAAACTTATGTAAGAATGAAAATACGACTAAACATAACTAAAGGACACTAAATGCTAAAAATGATACATGCCACTTTGGGGCCCAGTAATTAAAGAGCTGTAGAAATTCCATATGCAAAAATAAAAATAATTTACTAGTTTTTTCTTAAAACACTGCTCAAACCAAGAAACTTTCAAAAATATTAGTTTGCCCAATTAGCTCCAAACTGCCAAATCAATAATGTGTAATCAGAACAATCTGATTCATCTTTAACATCTTAATTCTGCTTCCAATTTAAAAATAAGTAACCACGAGGCTGAAAAGCTGCAGTAATTTCTTGACTGCCTGGATGCCAAGGAAGAAAAAAAGTAACAAAAGTTAGTTATTGACATCTCTATTATAACGCAAAAAAAGACTATTTGAGGACATATATGCAACATTCAGATTTCACAGGGGAGACCTAATTTGTTGTATATGGTCAAGTAGTTTTAAAAAGTCTTGATTCATAGTTTACTAAGATCATCAATTTGGGAATTAACAAAACTAGAAAATCAATGAATTCCAAATGATTTAACTGTGTTGTATCTATGAAGTATTACAGAAATATAAAATGAAAATTTTTTTAACTTTACCAAGGGAGTAGAGTTAAAATAACTTTGTAATAGGGTAAACTATTTCAAAGCTTCTATTGTAGTTTACATTTTACAAATACAATGACTTGTGGCATATCAGACCCCATGTAATAAAAAGTGCTTTCTAATGATCAAAAATTACATTGGAAAATGAACATCAAGAAGTCATTACTACCATAAAAAATCTTTTACCACAGGAAGCCTTTAAAATGTGAAATAAATCACAAATACTATTTCTAAGGACATCTTCCATCAGAACCAGCAGTCCACTGGATTCTGAACTGCAATCACAGCCCTTCATTGATTCCACATAACCTGACAAATACATTACAGTTATAAACATGTCAAAATCAACAAAATATCAAAACCGCAGAGCAAACTAGCATTTGTGAGTACCAACCTAATTGTCTGGAACCAAAATGATACGATTTCCACTTCCCATGGTAAAAACAGGAGATAAAATTCTATCGTCACTAACCACCACTTATTAAGTATGCATTCTAATCCCATCTAATGAAAAACTTAAGACAGAAATTTCATATAAAATATGTTTGAAACTTTTCTACATTATTTTTAAAACAAGCCAAATTATAGATCAGTGTACTTGATCTGATCAGTATCATATAATGAATGCTCTGTGCATGCACGTGTTAATGTAAAAGGGAAGAAATTCTTCAACAGACTCTGAGTCTCCCAAATATGGTTTGTGTGACTAACAGCTGAGAGGAAATGCAACTGAAACTGTCTGCTGGAAATCCATTAACATCTAGGCACAGAAAAATGCCTGGGTGACAGTATAGTTGGATGTGCAAATTTGTGCAGGAAGATAGCCAAATTTTTGGCAATCCGTCATGATCTTAAATGTATTGACAATGGTCTTTCCTTTTCAGTTGTAATGCTACATTTAAAGAACATTATTTGAGTTGGAGGGCCTACCTGGTCTTTAAAACAAACAGGCTTAAAGCTTAGGTTTACAAAGGCATGGTATTTTAAATAACACAAACAAAAATTTGTACAAAAAATTACATGCTCTACAAAAATTGCTAAGCGCAGTCAAAAGAAAAAAAAATCAGAATGTTAAGGAAAATAAAGTATGCTAATTTACATATCATTCTAATTTCCCTTTAAATATATTATCTTAAAATTTTTCTGCAAAGATCATTTTAATGATTATTATATTCTGAGAAGGGAGTGTTTTTAAAGGAATGTTCATATTTTAAAGCATATGCTCTTAATATACTACTTTATAGATTACATCTAGTATTTGGTTGTTCCTAGGGATAAACTAAGTATTTAACTTATTCACAAACCACTTAATAGGCACATTTGATCCTAGTCACTCTGTACTGAGCCCCTCCTATGTACTCAATGCTGTGAAACATTACACTAAAAAATGAAAGCTTGTTTTAAGAGCTTATAACTTAATACGGGTATAGTTTAAACAAACGTACACATTTAAAGTATACATATGCTATAAGCAGCTCTAATTATTGTGGTGATAAAATAAATCGAACATTTTGCAGGAAAGTACTATAACATTTTACAAGGGAGCAGTAATAGGTAAAACTGACTCAGTATTTTGCAATTAAGAAGTGATTCTCATAAAATTCACTGAATCCTCAAAACAACCCATGCTACCCTATGAGTACTTCTGCCCCATTTAATGATGAAGAACCTGAGATCAAGAAAAGTTAAGTGACTAAACCAAATTTACACACGAAGTAGTAAAGCAAAGATTCAAATTGGGTTCTCACAGCTAAATCAAGGCTGCCCCTGGATTTATAATTTTCACATTCTTTCATATAAGTAATCTCATCTGATCTTTACAACAACCCAAGAGATAATAATAGCAGCTAATATGCATTGAAGACATATTATGTACGAGATGCTCTTCTATACCATATTAATTCACTCCTCACAAACCCTGTAAGAGGAAGGGTTACATTATTACTCCATTCTACAGATGAGAAAATGAAGGCTCATCGAAAATATGTAAATTGCCCAAAATTACACAGCTAATAGGGAGGAGAATCAGAATTTAAACCCAGAGCATTTAGTTCCAACACCTACTTCTTTACCACCTCACTCCTCAGAAGGGTTAACATAGGCAGGTTAAGAAACTTGCCCAAAATCAGTCACAAGGAAAGAAAACTGGAAAAGGAGAAGAACCATGTCTTCTAGTACTTCACCCTAACTACTTTTCCTAAATGTAACTGGAATCATTGAATCCAGATGAGGCAAGGTGGCTTTGGGTGTAGATGTTCTTTAAAGCAGAGTATAAGCAGGTGAGGAACACTGGCAGGAAGAAGGAATCCCATCAAGTTAGAGAAGACTTATCTTCCATAGACTGGAGGCAGAAGAAAGGAAAATAAAATATGTGTGAACAGAGACACATGTATTTGCCTTTCTGATATAGGGAGTATGAATTAGGGTAGATGAAGAGGGATGACTCTAATTAAGAACATCAGTAAAAGTGAAGCACAAGACTGATTTGTTTTGAGAGAAAATCTAAAGCCACTGAGAGATTTCAGATAGGGGTCGTAATGCCTCCAAAAGAACTGATATCCCTAGTCTTGCCAAAAGTACCTGGCACACAGAAAGAAAACATACAAGCACTGAAAGAATTACACATTTTCATTTTTTTCTTTTTAAAAACTAAAATGTCATTTACAGTTTAGCAACTCCTTTTGACTGGGGAGAAAAGGGAAAGGGGAACATAATCAAGCATAACATGCTTCTCATTAGTTCTTAAGCTGTGAAGCTATCGTACTAGTTAGTTCAGCACATAGATTTTCCTCAGAATACTGTTAAAATCGGATGAAGGAAATCACAACAAAATCTCACTCAAATGAATAAACTGAAATGCCAATCTAAACCTCAAGTATTTGCTAAAAGTAGAATTTGTAACAATGGGGGTGGGAGGAGGGGATCATGGCACAGTCAAACTCAAGGATACCAAGATACTACGAAGCAGGACTTTTTAGAAGACAAATTAAATGAGGCAATCTAACCCTAATAGGATTTCTTCTCTCATTACTTAAAATAAACCAGGTCACCAAAATGGGCTTATACTGTGGTATTTTGTTCATTTTAATTTCATTAAACCATAAATTCCCATGGAAATACCTCAGACACGTGCTCACAATAATTAGAATGCCTAACATTTCAGTGTAAGTACTTTCACATGAGTTCAACAAAATAGAATGCAGTGAGGTCCCTTCAAGTTTTTTTGCGTATGTCAACAGCTATTTTATGATAAGAATTATCTCTGTGGTTATAAAACATGTGTAAAATACATTACAGGAGTCCACGAGAAGGCTTAATGCAGAAGACCCAGTAAAGGTTTGGACTGCACACAGAAACACGAAAATCAAGCTGAACTTCCTAGAACATAGCAATGATAAATTTTTCCTCCCAAAGCTATTACTGTTAAATATACCTTGATGAATTAAGTTCAAGTGTAACTACAACTGAAATATGATTCAACTGAGCTGTGACCTATTTTTCCTCTTAAAAGCAAAAGAGAATAATGACAGTTGTGAGACTTACATTTTTCCATTCCAGGGTATTTCTGAAAGTTATTTCACAGCACAGCTAAAGGCAAAATGCACTTAGTGACACTTATTTGCTTTAAAATAGAGTTATGTATGGTACTGCTCATAGGACAGTTGTAATTATTTAATAATTTGTTGTTAAAATTCTTTGTGTTCACTTACTTTTAAACTATACATACCAAGAGGCATTCAGAATGGAAATAATCTCAAAACATAAGTCTACAGTTCAGCTAGAACTATATATCTACACACAACAGAACCAACATCAACATGACAAATTAACATATACTGTATATGTGGTTGAAAATACCCACCCCTAGCAGAAAGCTTTTTGGTGTTGATAATTTTGGCAGCATATTCTTGTCCAGTAGGGATTTTCATACATCTTCTCACCACTGAGAAAGCCCCCCTGAAAACCAATAATTAGCATGTCATCAATATAATCAGCTCTGATATCCTTTTAAAAAATTATAGCAATCTGAGCATTTTTATTGCATTTAGTGATTTGTAAAATATCAGTGCACTACAGTAATATCCAAAAAATGAACGATTCTTCCTGGAAACCCAAACCTTCTTTAATGTTGAAGAATAAAAGTAAATTTTATTTAACTAGGAGCACACATTATTAATCAACAAAATGATAGGAAGTGCCAATTATGACGGCTCTTGTTTGCACATGAAATTTGAAAACATTTTACAATTCACACTCACACAGCACCAAATGCTCTGAGAGAAAAAAAAAAAAAAAGAAAGAAAGAAAGAAAGAAAGAAAAGAGAAGAAACCCTGCAAAGAGCATGGCTGAGGAGGAGCAGCAAAAATCTGCTGCCTATTTATTTTGTTACCCAAAAAAAAAAAAAAAAAAAAAAAAAAAAAAAAAAAAAAAAAAAAATTTAATGTGGCTCTGAGTGAGTAAATATGGCGATTGTTTTCATTAAAATATAAATCTTGGGAATATTTGTGTGGTTTAACAAATCCTGATATGGTGATTTCTCTGTGCCCTGTTTTGAGCTGGGGGAAGGGAGAGATTCGAATTAAGCTGCTCTTCCGACATATTCTCCATGTTTTAACAGCAGACAACATATAAATATATAAGGATATAATTTTCATTACATTTAAAGGATAATTACATTTTCATGAATTCAATTGTATAAAACAACCACATATATATATAAACGCACCCCTTTCATAAGTAATAGTTGGCACTAGCGATAGAGGAATTGGGTTTGGGTTGGATGCTACATAAATCAACATTCAAGATTTGGCCCCTAGGTCCCTAAGCACAAGGTCCTCAGGAGGTCTCCGGTCCCCTTCCTTAAATTCTCCGAGGAGTTCCGCCAGTCGAGTATAGCAGGTCGTTTTATACAACGCTAGGCTATCCTTGGGAAGCTTTCTCTCGGTCTCCAAGTCTTTTCCGCTGCCTGTATAAATAAATCCTCCCAGAGAATGCCAAGAGGTACATGTAAATCGTAGGAAGGATGATGAGCAAATAATCTGGTACAAAGAATAATTGTGGATATGGGGCGGGGGGGTCGAGTTCCTTTGGGTGACCCTTTTCCTGGACAGAACAACTACTGGATGCGAAATAGACTCTACGCCAAGTTGAACTTTCGGCATCAATAAATATGGCACCGTCTGTGGCAGTGAGTTCTCATCCGTACGTGGGTCGTACGGCGGACACGCCGGCTAACCAGGAGGCATCTCTATTTACAGAAAACATTATCTATGTTGCATTTTACATGGGTTCTTGTTTCCTCTACACACACACACACACACACACACGCTCGCACACTTCTCAGGATGACATCTACAACTGCAGGGATCGTAAATCCACTAAGTCTCTAGTGCAAGAGGGTGGGGGAGCGGGAGAAGGTGGGTTTAGGATTATCGGAATCGGCCACAGCCGGGGTGGAGGGTCTGTTCCCGTCTCTGTCCCCTCCTCTTGCTAAGCCAGCACCTTTCTCAAAGCTGCCACACCACTGGCCCTCCTCCCTCTCCTCTGGTCTCCCAAACTCCCTCGCCCCACGCGGGAGGCCGGTGGGTCGGGGGTAACGCGACCCGCCCTCTGCTGGAAAGGGGACGTGCAGATGCAGGCTTACTTTCCGAGCTCCTCGAAAAGCTGATACTCGTCCGTGAACCTGGTGCAGGTTGTGGTCGAAGCCATCCTCGGTCCCTGGCTGGGAGCGTGGCAGACAAGACTTGAACAGACGCGCGGCTTCCCCGGGACTGGCCCCGAGGCGCTGTCACCCAGGGCCGCCCTCACTTTCCTCGTCCGAAAGTAGCTCGCCCGGGAGGGAGTGTGCGCAGGGGCGGGGCGGGAGGGGAGATGACCAGAAAGGGTGGTATGGGGTCGCCTCCCCAAGGTCCGGCGATTCTCTTCTTCCTCCTCCTCCACCGGCCCTTGCTTCCTTCTCCTCTGGACGCTCCCCCCGCCCCCTTTCCAGCCCCTCTCCCCAAATCCGGGGGGCAAACTACTCAGGAAGAAGGGGCCGGGAAATGGAAAACAGCCGGGCACGGGGCGAGAGGCAAGCAGTTGCGAAACTAGCGCACCGGGGCTGGAATAGTAAGGGCGGAGAGGAGGGAGTCCGAGGGGGCGGAGGCCGAGTAGCTGCGAGCGGACGGCTCCAGCCCAGCTGCAGCTGTCAGCAGGCGCGGGCGCAGGGCGCGCCGGGGCTCGGCCGAGCGTGCGCGCCCGGGGCCGGCCTGCCTCCCGCGGGCACCTCGGCTGCCTGACGCTCCCCCACAAGTCCGCGCCGCCTCGAGACTGCGCGGCGAGAGAAAGAGCGCTCGGATGGGGCGAAGCCTAGTCCGTCGTCCCCAGCCCTCCGCCTTCTACCCCCTCACCCCCTCCCATCTCTTCCCACTACTCTCTCCGCCTGCCAGCCCCCTTCCCTTACGAAGCCCCCTCCTCGCCGGTCCCACACCTCCCTCTAGCGACTCCCAACCCTGCGCGTTCGCGGGTCTCGCTCTCCCGCCCTAGGTCTCACACTTGCGCAAACCCGTCTAGGAAGAGACCAGGTGGGCGGTGGAGGATGTACGAGGGAGAAGCCTGGAGAGGGTTTAGGTGAATGAGGCGAGACGTCAAAATTACCCAGTTAAACTCGTTATTAAGCTGCCGCCTAAATCTGGGGTTGATTTAGCGGAAAGGTGCGGGGTAAATGGTGAGCTGCCAGGGAGTACTGCCGGGGCCCGTGGAGGCCCCCGGCCCTGTTGTGGGCGCGGGGCACTAGAAACCGCTCCAAGCCGACCGGCGAGCCGCGGCGCCCCGGGTGGGAGCGTGAGGTGCACAACCATTTCTTCTTGGCGTCGCTAGGTGTTGACACAGTGGGGGCCGGATGTGGGCAATTGACTGCTTCCTTAGAAGGGTCCCAGCCTCCCACAGCCTCCCACTGACTCTCGCCCTCCTCCTCCCCAGCAGAAGCCGCGCTGCCGGCTCCCAGCCGGTTTAGCGAGGGGCGACGCCCGCCTTGCGCCACGTTTCACTTCTGATATGACTGCCACCTTACTCTCCACTTCCCCCCGCCGTTTTCTAGTTTGGGTTGCTGGGACACCGGCAACCCCCGAAAGCCTTTGCTTCGGCCATGAATTCTAGAATGAAAGCAAAAATTCCCCCCACGGAGCCACACCTTTTCTTCAGAGTAACTCCCCTGTAACCTCAGCAAGTTCTGATAGTAAGGCGGTCTCTCGCGAGATTTCGGGCTTCGGAGGCGGGGGCCGGGTGCTGAGAAGGTTGGGTGTCGGTCACGCGACCCGATTGGGACTGACGTCACTAGCATCACATGAACACAATCTAGCCCGTTTCGTTTTGCAAAGGAGAAAAGGAAAAGGAGAGGCAGAGTGTGCTCAGCTTGTGTGATCAAAGATCTGGCTAGATAGTGACACATAACTATACTCTGTAAATTACTGTCTGAAAAGCCACTTAACAGTTCAAGAATACTTCCTATTCATTAGCATACAGTAGATAGGGGAAATAATTATGCATTACATTTAAAATAAATCACTGATTTTAAAACAACCTCTGGGCCTTTCTTATTGTCTTCTGTCTTTAATAAACTATGTAATTGTAAACTTAAAGGCAGAACAAAAGGGTTATGAACAGTATTTCCTTACTGTCCTTCGTTTTACAATATGGGACACTAAAAACCTTGCAGTTCTGATAATTTGTTCACTAGCATTATATCATGGACTCAAAATTCCACAGCTGGAAGATAAAAGATAACTTGAATATGCGTTTAGAGAAATCGTTGCTCCCTCCCCGGGCTGCTGTTGATTAGTAAATTACCTCGCCTAGGGTCACACATAATCGTAATTCCCTCATTTCCTCCTGGGGAATGCCATTCTGGCAATAGTAGAGCTTTTACTGAAGTTTTCAAAATATTTACAAATTTTAACAGTTATTGTAACAAACTTGAATTTTATACATATTTTCGCACCCATAAAAAAGCAATTAGGACATTGTGTAAAATGTAATAATACAAGATGGTACCAAAAGTTATATAAAGAAAAAAACAGCTGTCTAAATATTAATAATTGAGCTATAAAATTTAAAAAAGGAGATTTGGTCCATGCTTAAGATTTTAACTTATATATTAAATATTTAGCAATATGGTTCCAAGTTATAATGCAATCATTTAATATTTTCTGAATCTAAAAATGAAACAAAAAGTAAAATTAAAACAATAAATAAAGATAATATTAAATTTTACAACTCAGGGAAAAAGTTTTCTTAAGTATTCAAGTAATGAGGCCTACATAATTACAGTATTTATCTCAGTTATTTAAATATCAATAATTGTGAATGGTTATGATTGTATGATACAATGAAGGAAACATAACAATTTTAATATTGATGTATTATTTAAAAATAAATGTGTATTTTTAACACTGCTTGCTCAATATTTGTGCTGTTTATTCACTTATATCTTAGACTAATTAAAATGTTTATCTTATTTAAACAAATATTGACATTATTTCTGAAGTTGGGCTTTCTTAAGACAATAATCCTAAAGTTACATAGAAATTCCACTTGGATTATCATCTCTTGCCTTCTTCTTGGTCTCCTACTTCTGCCTTTGACTCCCTTCATTCTAGTTTCTTCACGGCAGGCATAATGGTCCCCTTAAAATATCAGTCAGAGTAAATCATGCCTTTGCTCAAAAACTTCTGAAGGCTTAGCATCTCAATTAGACTAAAAACCAAAATTCTAAAAATGACTTACAAGGCCCTCCAAGATCTGCCCTCTACCCTGACTCCATTAGTCTTCCTACCCTCAATTTGTGCCCTGGATCATTCTACTCCAGCCACATTGGCCTCTGCTATTCCTGGAGCATGACTTGGCATGCTCCTGATTAAGGACTTCACATTTGCTATTCTCTCTTTCCTGGAATATTCATTTCTCCTATTTCATTTTTTCACCTCCTTCCAGTATTTTCTCAAATATCACCTTATCGATGTAGCTTTCCCTAGCCACTCTATCAATTACTTCACATTTTTCAGACACGATTTCTATTTGCACTGCCTGCTTTATTTTTCCCCTTAATATCTATTACTATCTAGTATAGCTATAAATTTTATTTTTTTCCTTGTTAATTGCTTATACTTCCCAACTAAAATATAAGTTCCCCAAAGGCATTGAGTTATTGTCTACTTTGTTCACTGCTCTATTTCCAGCAACTAGAATAGTAACTTCTGACATTCTTTTCACATTTATGAATTTCTACTTCTTCCATCATAAGATGGATCTTCTTTCCTAGGAGTAGTGGTGTTTAACCACTAGATCACAAGTTTAACCACTAGATCACAAGTTTAAACACTAATGGTGTTTAACCACTAGATCACAAGTAGGCAGAGAGGCAGGCAGAGAGAGAGGAGGAAGCAGGCTCCCTGCTGAGCAGAGAGCCTGATGCAGGGCTCCATCCCAGCACCTTGGGATCATGACCTGAGCCAAAGGCAGAGGCTTTAACCCACAGAGCCACCCAGGAGCCCCTGGCATCTGTCTTTTATTACAATGTAAAATTTAGTAAGGCTGGTATATCTTTAAAAAAAAAAAATGGAAATTCCTTCTTCCTTTATGGACCTCAATGGCAAGAAAATTTGTACTAGATCCTTTTCCTTTGATGTAAATTTTTAATGTATTTTTAAAATCCATTTCTCTGAATAAGCACTTTTAATCATGGGATACTGTGACTATGTTGACTGAAAATGATCACCTTTAGACTGAAGTTTTATTGGCATATTAATTGTCAACAACTAACTTTAACAGGCGTGAAAGTATTGGACAGGTACAGAAACCCACATAAAATTCTGACTTACGTTAGAGTGATCCAGAGGCTGAGAAAAGGAGCTTTAGAAAATGTGTGGGAGGGGCGCCTGGGTGGCTCAGTGGGTTACAGCCTCTGCCTTTGGCTCAGGTCATGATCCCAGGGACCTGGGATTGAGCCCTACATCGGGCTCTCTGCTCAGCCAACTTGTGATCTCTGTCTGTCAAACAAATAAATCTTTAAAAAAAAAAAAAAAAAAAGATGCCAAAGTTTCAAATGATTAGATCTCACTGTGAAGACACAAGTCAATGTGAGGAAATGAAAAATGTGGCTTTGAAATGAGTTTTTGTAATCCCTAAACTAGTTAAATACCACTACTACTAGGAAAGAAGATCCATCTTATGATGGAAGAAGTAGGAATTCATAAATGAGAAAAGAATGTCAGAAGTTACAGAATGAGAATGAAGGATTACCAGATTAAAGTTAAGACATTTTCTTCTTCTTCTTCTTTTTTAAGGTTTTATTTATTTATTTGAGACATAGAATGAGAGGAGAGAGCATGAGAGGGGAGAGGTCAGAGGGAGAAGCAGACCCCCAGCCGAGCAGGGAGCCTGATGTGGGACTAGATCCTGGGACTCTAGGATCATGACCTGAGCCGAAGGCAGTTGCTTAACCAACTGAGCCACCCAGGCGCCCCTAAAGTTAAGACATTTTCTAAAATTTGAAGATCATATACAAAATAAAATACGTTGTTCAAATGTAAATGTAAAAAAATTATAAACATGTACATACTTGGTTTCTCAATTGATTTAGGTTAATCACAAAAAAATTGAGATCAGCTAGTGTTACAAGCTCTTAATGTTCTATTTGCTAAGGTGGAAGAAAAGCATTCAAATTTAATCTTCTTTTAAAATGTTTTTGTTTTTAGGTTTTATTTATTTATTTGAGAGAGAGAAGAAAGTACCAGAGAGAGGAGGGTCAAAGGGAGAAGCAGACTCCCCACCAAGCAGGGAGAGCCCAATGCAGGACTGGATCCTGGAACTGCAGGATCATGACCCAAGCTGAAGGCAGATACTAACAGACTGAGCCACCCAGGTGCCCCTAAAATGTATTCTTTAATACAGGAAAAGGTAACAGCCAACAAAGGAGGAGGGGTAAAGTATGAGGAGGGGGGGCTTGGGGGTAAACTAGTTGTAAGCAGAGCCCTATCATTACCTAAATTGCTAGATTTCGATCAGATGAAATCACATCAGTACCAAGACCACACAATATTTTGCTCTAAATATATTCCATCCCTTTTGTGTGTGTGTGTGATAGCATCAACTAACAAAAAGTGGCAAAGAGATAGAAGACAGACTGAAATGATCTCTACATACAAGTACAACAGGAAAACCAAAGATAGAAGATTTCTTTTTTCTCTTTTAGGCCATTTGCAATTAAAAATTGCAAGTGTTCAGTAGACCGGCTAAGAAAGGGCGAGTTA